AGTTTCCTCCTGAATGTAAAATCATTGATATAAAGTGAGAGGGCTGTTGAGAATGTTTTTCCTTTTTGTTTGCCCTAAATCATGGCTTTGCCAATGCCTGATGGAGTCTCCTGTTGTCTCTCCTCTTTTCTCTTCTGTTCTCTCTCCAATTCCCATCCCACAGTGAGCCAGCACTCCGGAGTCATCACCAACCACCTCGGGACCAGCGCCTCCTCCCCCAACTCGGAATCAGACAACCATGCACTTTTAGATGAAAAAGAGGATTCCTACTTTTCCGAAATCAGAAATTTTATTGCAAATAGCGAGATGAACCAAGCGTCGGCTTTAGCAGATAAAAGGTAGACGTGAAAACCAAATTCACTGCGGACAGGACAGGCACGAAAAACAGAATAATACCAGAGGGAATTGGGGCTGAATTCCCTGATTTTTGGATGGAAATGGTTTGAGGACAGAGCCCAGAGAAGGAGGAAGGCTGCTTGTCACACAGACATTATATTTTAAGGGATGAAAAAAAAAATTAAATCCATGCTGCACAAAGTTGTAGTTTGGAAAACATTGGGGTTGGTGTGCTCTTGATAAATTTATTGATCCTTAAGAGCAGTGAAGGGTGATTTTTAAATACCGGAAGCACTTCGGGTTTCTTCTTTGTCACATCTTAAATAATATATATATAAAAACTATATACCTATATATATATACATATATTAAAAAAATAATAATATGTGTGTTGGGGAGGCCCTGGCACACATTGCCCCATCCCTGAAAGTGGGAATAATTAATATGTAAAAATACATATCAATTAAATAATAATGAACATTATATAGTATTAAACAGTATAATCATATGTTATATTTTCTCTTATTAAATATATATCTATATATATTTATATATACTATATATATACTATATATAATATACATTATATACACTATATACACTATATATACTATACTGTATATACTATACTATATATACTATATATATAATAATTAATTTTTTTATTTAAATAAAATGAATAATATATTAATATATATTTTATATAATATACAATATAATAATGATATTATATATTATCAAATATATATATAATGTAAAATATAATATATATTAAATTATATATATATATATTTATTTATATGTATGTCTCTGCATTCATATATGCGAATAACATTATCAAATTCTGGCATTCCAGCAGGAATTTACGACTTAAACATTTGCCATCTTTTTTTTTTCCTCTTCTTCTCCTCCCTCCCCATCTCCACCAAACACTTCAGGCCAGAAATCCAAGACATYGACGGCAATTCCCAGTGCCACGGATTAGCGAACGAGAAAACAGAAGACGTGGACGACGAGGACGAAGAACTGGAAGAGGAAGACGACGACAGCCTGACGGGGAAATCACAGGACGAGACGGCGTCGCCCACAGCGGAGCCACGGGGAGCGTTCGAGGACGAGGAGGACGAGGAGCCCACGGCTCTCACCATGAGCTTTGATCACAGCCGAAGGTGAGGAGCTCAGGAGGGCTCAGTTCAACCCCTGCCCGCGGCCGTGGCGCATCGCGAGTGCCGTGCGTGCGTTTTGGTTTGTTTTGTTTTGTTTCGTTTTTTGTTTGTTTGTTGCGCCATGCCGCCGGTGCGATTCCAACCTTCACTCCAGATTCCATTTCACCGCCATGGGGGACACGAGACAAGTGGACTGCAAGGAGAGCCTGGGGTGATATCCAAGGAGAAGAGTCAGTCTGGCTCAAATTGTGGAGTTTTCAGGGTGCAGCAGCTCAGCAGAGATGGTTTTTCTCCCCAAAACTCTGGTCAGGGTGAGGGAAAAGATGTCTCTGCAGTGACTTTGGTGCTGCTGTGGAYCTTTGGGTTGCAGCAAAATATTCTTGGCTTCTGAGCTCTAGCAAAAAGGRGATTCTGCCCCTCTGCCCCTCTCAGGTGAGAYSTTACCTGCAGAGCTGCACAGGGAGGACCTGGAGCTGCTGGAGAGACTCCAGAGGAGGCACCAAGATGATCAGAAGGATCTGCTGGGAGGAAAGGCTGGAAGAATTGGGATTGTTCAGCCTAATCGTGGCCTTCCAGTGCCTGAAGAGAGCTAGAGGAAGGTTGGAGAGAGACTGTTCCCAGGAGCTTGGAGTGACAGGACAAGGGAGGATGGGTTCAAACTGAAAGAGGAGAAATTTAGATTTGATCTTTGGGGGAAATCCTTTCCTGTGAGGATGGTGAGGCCCTGGCACGGGGTACCAGAGAAKCTGTGGCTGCCCCTGGAAGTGTCCAAGGCCAGGCTGCACAGGGCTTGGGTCTAGAGGAAGGTGTCCCTGCCTATGGCAGGAGGTGGAACAGGACAATCTTTAAGATCCCTTCCAACCCAATTCAGATTCCATGACTCTCTAAAAAGTGAAAGCTTTTTTTTTTTTTTTCCCCCCCGAACATCACCTTTAAAACAAAAGATTGCTGCACACAGCTCTCTTTTTCCTGCATTTCCCCCTGTTTCTGGGGGGAAATCCCACAGTAACACCTCAGCCAGAACCTTCATCTTGTTGCTCTCCACTTCTTCCTCGCTCCTCCCATCCCGTGTCCGTCTCGGTGTCCGTCTGTCCGTCCGTCCCTTCACGCATGCGGCTCGTGAGCCCCCGTGGGTGGTGCATGCAGCCTGTGGGCCAGACCAGCTAACACAGGTCACCCCTGGTCATTGGTACAGGTGTATTGAGGAGGAAGAAGCCGGCCTGTTAGATTTGGAGCAGATGCCGAATTTTGGGAAGGGGCTGGATCTCCGCAAAGCGGCCGAGGAAGCATTTGAAGTTAAAGATGTGTTTAATTCCACCTTAGACTCTGAGACAATAAAACAGACTCTGTACAGGCAGGCTAAAAACCAGGTGGGTATATCCAGAACGTTTTCCTAGCTTGCCACCGGTGTGTACAGCAGGATTAGGGAGCAGCTGGCCACCTCTAGCCAAGGGTTATTTGCCCCTTCCAGCAAGATATTTTACCCTTCAGTGGGTTATTTGCCCCTTCCAGAAGGTTATTTTATCCTTTAGTGTGTTATTTGCCCATTCCAGCAGATTATTTTACCCTTCTAGTGGGTTATTTTACCTTTCCAGCAGGTTATTTTATCCTTCAGTGGGTTATTTCCCTTTTCCAGCAGGTTATTTTATGCTTCTAGCAGGTTATTTTACCCTTCAGTGGGTTATTTCCCCTTTCCAGTGGGTTATTTCCCCCTTCCAGAGGGTTATTTTCCCCTTTCCAGCAAGAATTCTAACACACACATGAATATATCTTGTTGCAACTAAACTGAAAAAGAGGAGGAAGGAAGTGGGCACCACTTTCAGATGGATTTATCTCAGCCCATGCAGTGAGAACGGGGTTATACAGGAAGAGAGAGTCATCTGTCTGTTTTTATCTGTCTGTATAAATGTTTTTATAACTCCTTTTTTTATTCATACTTTGGGGTGGCTCTTCTGTTGGTAACCACTGAGGTTTGGTCTGCAGAAACAGTGATGAAGGGGCCTTGGATTTGGTTAAAACAGGTGTCATGATAATATTTCCAGGAATTGCTATGCTTGCATGTCTAGAGGGTCTCCTTGTTAATCTCCTTGATTTCTGAAAGTAAACCATATTAAAAAAAAAAAGTTTTAAAAACCCGAGAAAACAAAAAGAAAAAAAAAAACCACAAAAAAACCCCACAAAACAAAAAAAAACAAAAAAAAAAAAAAAAAACCAAAACAAACAAAAAAAATCCCAAAACCAGTAGGCCAGACCACTTCAGGCCTGCCAAAAAAACCCTCCAAATGGCATCTCAGAATTACTGGAGTTCTGAGAGAAACCTGAAGGTTTGGGGCAGATCTGTGTGTGTACTTTCTGCTTTTTCATTAGCCAGGATTCTCAGTCTGGGTTTATGGAGTTGGTCTGATCCCTCCACGAGGATTCTCACAAAAAATCTGTTCAATGAAGGACCTCAGCAGACTGGCCTGGAGAAAGGACACTCAGAGTCCCTTTCTGACCCTCAAGCAAYAGAATTTATCCCAAAATCGATTTCAAACACCCACCAGAGCACAGCCACCATGCAGAACAGGATTTTTGATTTGCATCACCCAAAACTTGTGCAATTTTTGCCTTTCTTCATATTGGGAGTCGGCAGTGAGGCTGGGGAGGGTCAGAAGATTTTTTTGGGGTGACAGCCATTTAAGCACAAGCCCCTTGCCTGCCCCTTGCCTGTGTCCTGTCACTAACATCCCAAATGCACTAACTCTGCTCTGCTCTTTCCCAAAATGTACCACCCTGGTAGGTCCAACCTTGCTTGGGTTGGGGAGGGTGTTTTGGGGTTTTCACTCAGTTTTACACTTGAATCCCAATAATCAACATAAATAATTTAARCCATCAGTAGGAATAGTTTGTGTGAGCAGCACAGCACTGCTTTGGTTTAATTTTAAGCCATTTTGGAAGCGTGTGTGTCCACCAGACCACAAAACTGGATCTSTTTCCCAGGCCAGGGAGGGTGGGGACTGTGTCCTCCTCCTTTCCAGGCTGTGGGTGACAATGACATGGTTTTCCCCTTGGCTGTTTGAGGTTGTCATCTGTGAGCAGTGAAAGGACACAGAGGTGTGTGACACAGATTTTGTGTCCTGATGGAGGGAGAGCARCGAGTTCCAAGGAAGCAGCAGATTGTCAGAGGGCAAACGAGTCTGGCTGCATTTCTGGCTGCAGTGAATCCACCCTGGTTATGCCAAGGAGAATYCCACATTCCCAAATTCCCACACTGGCGTCACCAGGCATGGGGTCAGGATGAGCAGCTGCTCACCCCACTGGGCATTGCTGCCCCATTCCCAAGGCACTGCTAGCCCAGCCCAGCCTCACCAAACCCGTGGCCTGGCTGGGGGTGTGTTTTTAATAAGAACAAGCCCCAGTAACCACTGCTTTCCCCTGGAATCACGTGGAGATTTGTGTATTGAGGGCAGGGCAGGGTGGCTTCCAGAGCCAGTGGGAATGATGMTCTCTGCTGACTGTCCCTAAAAACCATGACCAATGTCCCTATAAACCACAACCAATCTGAGTATTTGGAGCAGATTGGATGTGGATTTATCCCAGCCCAGGGGATGCTGCTGGTCTGGGTGTGCAGGGTTAGAGGTGCTGAGCTCCACAAGGAGCGTTCCTCCATCCTGGCCGTGTTCTCACCTATGTCTCTGCCTCCCTCTCTCCCCCAGGCTTATGCAATGATGCTGTCCCTGTCTGAGAACGCTCCCCTCCACACGTCCTCCCAGAACTCTCTGGGGGCCTGGTTGGACATGGCAGGAGCAGCTTCAGAGTCGGGGACCTTTAACCCCATCAACCACCTCTGAGAGGTCCACAAGGCACTGGCCGGAGCCCAGGCGAGGCAGCCGTGGTGCTGCAGCCATCCCAGCAAAATCCCAGCGAGCAGAAGATGGATGAGAGGGCCTCAGGGAGTCGTCTGGACTTTGGGCTGAGAAGGAAACCTGTCACATCTGACCCACACGCCCTGCATTTTTTTATCTCTCCAGAGTTTTCCTGTCTAATTTATCAGAGYGAACCTCTCCCCAGATGGATAGCCCTGAAGCAGCCCCAGGATTTCACAGCCTGTAGGAAATAGCATGAGCAAGACACGAATTGCAGCAGTGCAATCAAAGATTGGCCCCTCCAAACCTTCACTGAGCCAGGAGCAGCAGGAGCAGCATTTTGGAACCCCACAGCAGCATTTCCTGCCCACCCAGCTGAGTGGTGAAAGCACCAAGGGAAGAGAGCCAGGTGTGACCTGTCTGTCCCTGGTGCAATTCTGACACAGCCGCTGGAGTTAGACCAGGGAAGGGCGAATCCACCATGTTCAGCTGACCCCTGGAAGGATTGGGAATTCTGCACTGCCACAGGAACACCGTCCTGTCCTTTTTTCCCAAAAACACCCTGGTGTGGCTCAAAACTCCTCCAACGAGACGAGGCCACGTTGCCTGCAGTTATCACACACCAGCTGAGACATCTCCAGCCTGGAATGGTGTCCAGGTTGGGGTGACAGATGTGTCACACGGATCATCACCTGAGTGCCCTGAGTGCCTTCCACCTGTGCCAGGCTGGGAGAGCTCCCCATCCCTGCTGGTGCCTGTGAGCCCGAGCTGGGAGTGTCTGGGACAATCCTGGAAATGCCTGGATTTCCCCAGGCAAAGGTCACRGGGTAAAGCCTTTCCCAGCTGTGCACAAGGAAATGTGTGCTGGGCAAGCCTGGCCTCACCTGGGGCAGCTCGGACACATGTCCTGTGTCACCTCCCAGGTTTTGGGGTGACATCACCCCATTTTGAYGGTATCTGTGGCAGAGATCTCTGATTCACACCCTCGCTTTGGCCTGGTTTTCCTCCGCACTGCCCGCTGCTGCTGGTCTGTAATTTAGGTAGAAAGAGGAACATTTCCGTGCTGCAGCAGCCTGAGGGGTGCAGAGCTCTGCCTGAGCACGGAGATAACAATCCTGTTGTCTCTCCGACTCTAAAATTGCTCGCAGAGATTTTCTGAGTGATTTCAAATCGCTTCAAAGCCTCATCTTCTCTTACTCGTACACAGCAGCCTCCAGAAATCCTGCAGGCTTTGTGCCGTTCTCCCTTAAAATTCCCATCTGCTGTAAGAACAGGGAATTTGGAGATGACATTCCTTTATGGAATAGGTAGGAAAAGCAGGGAAAAGGGCAGGTGGAGGGTTCTAAGCCATTCCAGCTTGGGAAGCCTCATTCCAGCAAGCCAAAACAACAGAAACAACTCTCTGAGCACAGCAGAGTTGGAGTTGGGTKTGATACATTTCCGAGTCAGCTTTGCCCCCAAGAGCAAACGTGAGGCTGTTTTTGGGGAGCCCCAGAGAGCCCCCAKGGGAAAGCAGCCAGGGTGGCTTTGGTACAGAGGGAACAAAAGGTAAATTAGCAGCATCCGTGTGTTTTCCAAGAAAATTCGCCCTCCCCTTTTTTTGATTTTCCATGAGATCCTGTGAAAGTGCCCAAGGCTCTGAGAGCAGCAGGCAGTGTAAGCGAACTGCCTCACGTTTTTGCACAAAGGTCTTGGGCAGAAAAAGCCCGAGAGCCAACACTGCCGGAGGAACCCCGGCTCTGTGGAGCAGAGGGACAGCCCTGTCCCCTCCTGTCCCCTCCTGTCCCCTCCTGTCCCCTCCTGTSCCMTCCCMTCCCCACTCCGGTGGCTGCAGCACAGCCCTGCCCAGCACTCGGCCTTTAAATTATTCCCACAGGGGCCAACTGAAAATAATAAAAGAATTGTTTCTTTTCCTGATTTATTTTAATCTGTATATAATTTGTAATTTTGGGATAATTCCTTTATTATTTCTTCCTTAACAGTATTTTTTTATTCTTTTTTTGGCATTAGATACCATTCTTGTGAAGAAATCATGTCAATATAAGCGTGTAGTGAAGGACCAAAATGGTGTTGTTGAGGTTGGATGTTGGATAAGCAGGGAGCAGGAAGGTTTTGTCCATGTGCCAAATGAGCCCAGTCAGTGCTGCCAGCGCTGCTGCCAATTCTCCAGACAATCATCCCTTGGCTTCCCTTTGCCTTGGAATTCCTGGGGCCTTGGAGGAAAGTTCTGGTGACTGGGAACAGCACAGGAGGAGGAGGAGAGGGCAGTGGAGATGCTCTGCCTCACTGGCTCCAGGAGAACATGGAAATGGCCTTAACCATGGGGATGGATCCATCCTGTCCCATTCCAGCTGCAGCTCCTGACAGCTGCTTAGGGCAAACCACATGTCTGAGCATCTCTCTGGTCAAATGTGGCTCTGCCTGTTATGCCAGAACAAGATCTGTGGGCAGCGGGGAGAGTTTGTGTGCTCTGACCCATGCTTTGTTCGTCCTTGAGGAAACCTTTGGGCAGGTCAGCATCGCTTCCCGCAGCACAGAGAGGTGACAAAGTGACTGAGGGAGTGGCAGTGAGCTGGACACCAAAATAKGGGCCAATATTAAGGAATGCAAGTGTTCTTGTGGGGATTTATTTGGGGTATTTATGGTCTCCCTGTCGCTTTCTCAGCCCTGCTGTCAGATTGTGTCATTTCTCCAGAAGCWGTTGGTCAGGTCTGTGCTCTGACTGAGCTCATGTTGTCACTGTCCCCTTCCCTGGATTCATCCTGGCTCTCCATGGATCTCCTGGTTCTGGCCAAGGATGGGGAGGTATTTTCCAGACAGGAATTGAGGACATTAAAAACATAGGGTTTAAAACCATGAAATGAGGTTTTTTTCTTCTGCTATTTTCTAATTGAGTTTTCCCCGTTTTCTCTAGCTTGTGTTGTTGGCTCTCCCAATCCCTCTGATTTAGCACTGATTACAAGTTTCAATTTTTTCAGTTAAGATAAAGAAACAGGAAGCCTGGCTGAACCTCAGCTAATCCCTGCCTTTCATTGGATTGCACTTGAAACACRCTGCAGCTCAGAGCAGGAGGCCCCRTTTTGCTGCTTTAGCAGAGAATTTTGAGTTTTCCAGGCTATTTCCCGAGAGGTTTGTGCTGAGGATGTTCTGCCATCAGAGCCCTGCTGGCTTCCCAGTGTGGGGGGAGCTCTGGGAGCTCTGGTCAGAYGTGGAGCTGTGGTGTCCATCCCCTTGGACATTCTGTGCTTGGGATCCAGGGCGAGTGAGGGTGGTGGAGATGGGTGTGTCTGGTAGCCAGGGCACACCTCCAGGCGTGGYTTAAACCCAGAGCTTCGTGTAGGATCTATTTATTTAAAGTAGCAGTTTTGTCAYGAGAGCACAGAGGGAAGGAGAAGCCCTGGGGATTTTTTGGAGTGGTCAGGTGGGGTTGAGAGCCGGGCAGGGCTGTGAAGGATGCTYGCTTTGGCCAGAGCTGGACATTCCTGCCTGAGCTGGTCAGGGAAGAGGATGTGGGTCTKGGGTCTGTCATTCCCTGCTTCCCAGCAGCTCAGAGCTGCTGGTTGGTACTGGTGTGAYCGCTGTGGCTGCTGCAGAGCCGGGAGCTCCCCAGTGGGATGTGCTGAGGTGCCAAGTCCTCTTGCAGGATGTGTCAAGCACCCAGTTCTCCTCCTGGGGTGCTGGGTCCTTCCCTGGGACGTGCCCTTTTTGGTGCACAGGCTGCTCTGGGTGGGTTCCTGTCCAAGGTGTCCCATGCCACCAGCTCCGCAGGGACACAGACGCGAAGGAACCCAAACCCAACCGTGGCCAAACAACCGAGTTTGCTGAGCTGCATTTTGGGACAAACACCCTGCTGGGGTCCTATCCTCCTTCAGACAGCACCGAGACAGCTTGAACCCCCTCCCCAATCAGCACTTAGGCCCTCGGCAGCCGCTCTCGGGGGCTGTGGCGGCGCGGACGGAGCCTTTCGAAAGCACTTGCACAACGAGGCCAACGCGTTTGACTCTTGAGCATCAAAAGCACTGGATCGTGAGCCCCCTCCATCCCCCAGCACCCAGGTCGATCTGCTGACTCTACACTCGG